TTATCCTCCAGTAATTGGTATATTTCATACGGAAGATTTTATGAACAAGTGAGTACATTTTTTTCAATTATTAATAATTGATAAAATATAAATAAATATAGATTTATATAGTTTTATAAATATAGCTAAATATAGATTTTATAAGTTTTTTTGGAAATATTCACATTTTTTCACTCTTTAAAAGTGTAAAAAACTAAATGAAGCTTCTAATAATTATTGAATTTCATTAAATTCAAATTTTATTATTTACATATTTATAGTTTCAGCTTCATAATCGATAATAATAAAGCTTTTTTAAAAAAGAGATGATTCCTTGAATAGAGATATATAAGATTTATAAGCAATATAGAATAAAATATTTCCTTGTAAAGTTTTATTTTCGAGAAAATTAATTTTGAATATTTGCCAAATATGTGTATATTTATGTGTATGTTTGAGTCCAAGATCCAGATACAATACAGTCTAATTTGGAATTAGGGCATAAAACCTCTTTAAAAAAACTTTATTTAAGACATCTTTAAGGCTCCTGGATAGTTGTTGCAACTGTCCTTGGTTTATGACGTCAGAAGTGAGAAAACGCATATGAAGAATTCTTGCGTTTTATGTTCAAATAAGAATTCTTGCGTTTTACGTTCAAATAAGAAGATATATACATAAAATAACTTTGTGATCGATTCAGTACACTTCTAAAATTGTCTGTACACTTTTCTTTTACTCGACGAGCAATAGATAGTTGTAAAATTAACATTGACAAAATCATGAGGAAAGAGGCTAAGATGAATGGTTTCGTGTCAAATTAATTTTGCAGCTGTTTATTGATTGTTCGAGTAAAAGAAAAGTGCACGGACAATTTTACAAGTATACTGAGTCGATCACACATGTCATTTTATGAATGTATTTTTTTATTTGTACGTATAATACGTATAATACGTATAATACGTATAATACAAGAATTCTTGACATACGTTTTCTCGCTTCTGACACCATCAAAAAAAGACAGTTGCAGCGAGGGACCAGGAGCCTTAAGACGTTTTATATTTCAACGTTGGTCACCTTATATATATACGTGTGTGGTATATCAATATTAATTACATTATTTCTATTTGCAGAATACTTTCCATGTATGGGAATACAATATCTCAAATGTATAGAACATTAGACAAGTTAGGATATAATGACGAATGTATGCCGAAATATATTGAACTAAAACATCGTCTGGATGTAACCAGGATGGAAATATTGAATCTTTATCGAACTATTGTTTATGAACCTATATCGAATATCCAAAAAAAAATGTAAATCTCAGGAATATCTTTTATATATTCAAAAGCACACACACACACACACACACACACACACACACACACAAAATTTACTTAGTGACTCTATTTCTTTAGGAACGCTATAACAGAAGATGAAGTCAGAAATTGTATAGATCAATATCTAAATTCATTGATGAGTGCTATATCTGAAAAAGAATTCATTAAGGATTATCATAAGTTGCATCCAATTGAACATGATCTTAAGGTTATATCAAAACTGTATCCTGATGTGTATCCTTTTTAAAATATAATCATATAATAATACGTTACACGGACTGATTCATAAGTAGTACAAAAAAGGAGATATTCCTTGGCGGATGATAAATCCAAAACATAAAGTATTAAACTTTCTAATTTATATATATATATATATTATATATATATATATATATAAATAGAAGAATTATGAAGAAAAAGTTATAAGAACATATGTCCTAAAGTACTTTGTTTTCAACACAGGGTATCAAAGTTGAGAAAAGAATATGTAAATTCCGAAAATCTAGAAAATGCTTAGAGATATTTTATTCAAATTTGATGTGCATACATGTAGTATTAAGAACCATAGTTCAGGATTTAAAAAAATATTCAACTTGGAAAACACAATGGTATACCGTTTATTAAAAAAAGTAAATTAATATAATTACCCATACGTATGCCTCTGGTGGATCTAAAAATCGGTTTTATCGGTACTGGAAAATTGTTCTTCACCCATTTGCATCATAAGCTCATATATGCGCGGAATTTTCCTGGCCATTATTACCGAAGCGCAGATATGCGCGCTAGTGTTTTGTGCATCATAGCCACAGCACATATGCACGCAGTTAATGAAGAGTGATGATTGCAAACGGATTAAAATATTTCTCCGGGTAAAGGCAAAAAATTTTGATGAAAATGGAGGGTTGTGATTCTAATAGTAGTGAAAAAGTAATTAAGCCTACAAAACGTAGACGTATTATTACGATATTTTCTGAAAATGACGATAGTGCTAGTGATCAAAGTGTAAGTGATTTTGAATGGGAAGAAAAAAATGATCAATCTAAATTGCATAAATTTATATCTGTTAGTGGTGTAAATAAGGATATTACACATTTTATTAAAGAGAACGTTTACGGATTATTTCTTGGACAGGAAATTCTTGAACACATTGTAATGGAAACTAATTGATTTGGTAAAAACGATCCGAGTTTCACAAAAGTTTCTGTAGAGGAATTGAAAGTTTATTTTGCACCGATGATAGTGCAAATGTGATATCTCTGGTCCAAAAATGTACATTACAAAGTTGTTGGAGCACGGACAAGAGTATTGAAACACCGTACATCAGAACAGTGATGTCCCGAAATAGGTTTATGTCAATTTCAAAAAATTTGCACTTTGCAAATAATGCAAATTCTTTGCGTACGCCATTTTGTTTTTTGTTTTTTATGCATTTTGAAACATTTCTATCTTTATACAATAAAAAAATATTTTGGTGATATGAGCCAATTTTCCACTTTTCCGAATGATACAAATGGGTTAATACCACACACACACAAAATATATCTAAGCATTTTCTGGATTTTCGAAATTTTCTTATTCTTTTCTCAACTTTGACACCTCATGATTTTGAAAACAAAGCATTTTATATATTGTATATTATAGACATATGTTCATAGGACATATTTTCTTCATAAAATAAGCAAGAGAATATCCTCTTATATTTTTTATACTTTCTTGAGAATCATCTGTCTGCATCTGTGAAAAGTTTATTTTATTAAAAATAAAAAGACAAAAATTTTTTTACATAATATAATTAGTGATACAATAAATAGCGACTATATTTTAAATTTGCTGCATGCATCAATCGGAGACACTAAGATACCAACTAATGTATCCTTCAAAGATATAAATGTAAGTAACTGTTTTGCAAATAGCTATTTTATGAATCGATGTTATTAGTCAACAATTTTTTGTGTTATACTATGTAGGCAGATGTTGCTAGTGGCGTTCAAAATAATCAACGAAACGAACATTGTAATAATGTAGACTATATAAACAAGAAGATAGAAGGTATTTCGAATGATTCT